CTTGAAGCATAAGAAAATCAGTAACTCTAAAACATGACGAAATGGCCCAAGCCTATCTGAAACATAACTGGGCCCTAGGGACCCCCATTCGAGCATAACAACAAGTTTCACAACATAATGCAGACCAGCTCGAGGCCTCAAATCATATCAAACAACATCAAAATTACGAATCACACCTCAAATCGTACTTAATAAACTTTCAATTTCTACAACTCGTGCCGAATCATATCAAATCAACCAAGAATGACGTCAAAATTTGCATGCAAGTCCCAAATGACACAACGAGGCTATACTAACTCCTGGAATCGAAATTCGAACCTGATATCAACAAAGACAACTCCCGGTCAAAGCTCTCAACCTTCCAAGCCTTCAACTTTCTAACTTTCTCCAAAATGCATCAAATCAACCTACGGACCTCCCAATCTAAATCCGAACATACGCCTAAGTCAAAAATCACCATACAAAGAATTGAAATCATCAAAACACCATTCCAGAATCATTTATACAAAAGTCAAACTTTGGTCAACTCTCTTCACTAAAGCTTCTAAAACATGAATTGTTCTTCCAAATAAGTCTCAAATCATCTAAAAACCGAACTCAACCACACATGCAAGTTATAATTTATAATACGAAGCTCCTCAAGGCCTTAAGCCACCAAAAGTATGCTAGTTCTCAAAACGAGCGGTCGAGTCGTTACATCCTCCCGCTCTTAAACAAACATTCGTCCTCGAATGTGCCAAGAATCAGTCCAAAGCCTCGAAATCACTGAATGAACTTACCATACATATACTCGCGGGTGATCCCACATCACCCCAATCCACACAAGCCCAACAAAACCATCTCAATTGAAGATTATTCCTTCCACCAACACCGATAAGCCTTAGAACCAAAATTTTCACCATCCGATCATTTCCCAAAGACTCGACTCCTGCACAAACACACTATATCAACCTCAACCAGCTGTCACAACTCATGCATACCCCCATAAGGTATAACCACATGACATAACACATCACACATATGCCCACAACCATAACTCTGACCACGATAACTACCCATAACCAAACCCAACACCGGTAAATAGTCTCATAACAGCTAGAATCCTAATCCAAACCTTTAAAACACTACCGATGATGCATAAAACATGAAGATCTCATAACTATTCACTCAAATCAATAAGTCACACCTAACGCTACCCGGGCACACATCTCGCAAGCTAAACCCAATAAGCACAACGCGAATATGACTGAATATTGAAAGAGAAACACATGAGAAAGCTATCACTCAAGTCCGACAGGCACAACTCCCTATCTATATCATATTACTAATTCGTTCCACAAGGGAGAAACACAACACATGAACTAATCACAAGGATCGCATCATAATATAACTCCACCGTGGCACATAGCCCGATTCAAACATAAAAACCACATGAAAACACGAGGGTCTCACACTCAGCTCTAAATCACAAGTAGAATACACATCACACCAACAAAAAACTTCCACTAACTCAATTTCGCAAAACAAAATCACAACACGTAACAAAATTCCCATACCGATAGAGCACCTAAATCACAATTCGTAAAAAAACCATATAGAAATCACATCAAAACCTACCGTAATGAGTAACAGAAAGTTCAATCTAATCTTATAGCTCTTAATTGTGAACAAACCAAGACCATAGACGTGGGCTACCACTATAGAATCTCCCAACAGAAGTAAACACATAAGCAGTATGTAGGAATCACGAAACTCACCCATGTATGAAGCAAGATAGGTGGTCTAACCCCGATAAGTAGAACTGAATCAAAATAAGAATGATACTCCTTTATAACAAATCAAAGCCATACCTGTAATGACACCATCTGGTATAGCAGTATCAGCCCTACCATAGAGAGCATATCAATGGGCCAAACCTCCTTCTCTAGGGCGCCCTCTACCAGCCTGTCCTCCACCCCTAGCTGGCTGTGCAGGTGAGGTAGCAACTAGAATGGAGCCTATAGCCTGAGTGCTTTGATGAAATTTACCTCTCTCACATCTGGGACAATCTTTGATGATGTTCCTAGTATCGCCATACTCATAACAACCCCTCTACGAGTGTGGTTGCTCGTATTGAGTTTGTGCTGGATAATTAGAATAACCGCTATAAGAACCCCGTGCAGGTGCTGCATTAAAAGATTACAACCCCATATGAGTACCCTAACTAACTAGAGTACCACATGTAGTCTGAAGTGCGGACTGGACTGGCCGACTAGACAATCCTCCGCCATGATGGATCATAGCCAAAGGGTAGAATCCACTAAATCCCCCAAAATCTCGAGACCTCTTGGCCTCCTTATCCTCCCTCTCCTCAGTAATCTCTATAACCTACTGAAATGGAGTATTAGTCTCCAACTCCGGTGCCATGCTGAATCTAAGGCCGTAGCTAATCCCGTTGATAAATATGCAGATTTGCTCTCTGACTATATGAACCAAAGTAGGTGCATGACGGGATCACTCACTATACCTGATGGCATACTCTAACACCGTCATGGTGCCCTGACGCAGCTGCTTGAACTTTGTGCGCCACGCATCCCAGAGGGTCTAGGGAACAAACTCCCTCAAGAACATCTTTTAAAACTGAGCCCAAGTGGGTGGTGCTGTATCGAGTGGTCTACCCTTCCCACAAAAATTTTCACCAACGATATGCTACCCCCGACAACTGAATGTAGTAAAAGCAACTCCACTCACCTCCACAATATCCATGGTGCGGAGAATACAGTGACACTTCTCTAGAAAGACCTGTGCATCCTCGGTAGTTGTGCCACTGAAAGTAGGTATGCTATACCTCTTAAACTCTCAAGCCACTTCTGCTCCTCATCTGATGCCCTTGACATGACCATAGGTCGAATTAGAATAACAAGCTATACCAGGAGATGATTTATGTGGAGGGGGTGGGCTACATGCACCCATTCTCCCTTCCCTATGCTAGGTATAAATAGTACCAATTTTAAAATTATCTATATAAATATGTTTGTGGCCACCCATGCTCAAATGACTACCTTGGTACACTGGTAAGTTGGTGCCCCTGTATACCCAGGTCAAGGGATCAATTCCCTAGCACTTTATGCTTTTTTAATTTAGTTTTTTTAATATTTAAAAGTTCCTTTTGTCTAAAAATAGATCCCACATTTTTTGGGGGAATTTGGGTATTAATCGGTCAAATCCGTAGAAACAAAATACGGTGACTCCTTCTAAACTATCTCTCTCTCTCACTCGACTCTATGTGACTGTGGAATGTGGGTTCTTTCAAGAAAGCAACAATTTCACCTTCGCATTCTCTTAAAATTCTCAGGTATGTAACTACTCTCTCTCTATCTATCTCTCTCTCTCCCCTTGCTATGTATTTCAATTCACTCGCTGCTATTCCTCACTCTTTCTTTTTCTGTTTTGCTCAATGATTGAATCTCTTGCCAAGATTTTGTCTTGTTGATAGTGGTTATGATTGTTTATTTCTTAAATGAGATGCCGTTAAATGCTATTTCTATTGGAAATATGGGAGTGCTAGGGCTTTGAAGTCTTGAATTTTGATAGTTTATTGAATATGTGCACATATTGTTTTTGAGAAAATGTTTGGCCTATTCAAAGATTGAAATCCATGGGAAAAAGAATTTATGAAAAGGAATTTAGTGGGACAATATTTTAGTTTAAAATATATCCAGATTAAACAAGTATAAATGTGTCGTCTTAATTTGAACGAAGTATGAGAGTTTTTCAATCTAAGCAACGAAGTCCGTGAAGTGCTCACAGGATTGATAGTGCAAAAAGTGGAATATAGAGGAAGTTTGAGGCCAAAGATAGTTGGGAGATTGAATGATTTGAATTTTTATCCTTAAAATAGTGAGTCATTGAGAAAGTGAGGCATTGATAGGCTTTTGGCTTCTGTTACTTGGGACCTCTGCCCAAGTTTCAATTTTATTTTTTAGTTGTACATATCAAACAATATAGTTATTAGTTATTAAAAAACTTGTTCCAACAAACACAATTAAAGTATATAAGTTCAAACATACATGTACAGATGCCTAATTTTTGTGCCATAACTTCTTTATCTGCTGACTGATATGCTTTAATATGATCAGTTTGAGTTTAACGATTTATTTGAATTAAGATAGATTAAATAGAAGTGTGAATATTTAATTTTGTAGGAACGATCCATAAAATTAAAATGGATAGATTTCTCACCAAGCCGAAAAATGGTGAACCAACTTCTAGTACTGGTTGGCCATCCATGAGTTCACAAATTGATTTGGAAGTTTAAAGGGAGACAAATCTTTCTCTACTTTCAAATGTGGATAAAGTGTTTGATTTGAAATCGTTTGAACCGGATCTGAAAGAAAGAATGCCAATCTCGGACTATGGTCCTAATATTAAAGATAAAGTGAGGAGATATTATATAAACAGAGGGCCTTGTCAACCGATTGACCATCCTTTCCTAAAACTAAGATTGGGAGTAAAATGTGTCAATTTAGTCCCACTTGGTTTAAGGGATCATATTCTCAATGGTTGGAGTATAGCATAATAGGAGATGCAACATTTTATTTGTGTTGTTATTTGTTCAAGAATGAACTTGAAAGCCGTGGAAATGCAGGGGATGCATTTACAAAGATGGTTTTAGGGGATAGAACAAGGGTGTGGAAAGATTCAAAGCACATGTTGGTGAAGTAAATAGTATCCATCACAAATGCTTCAATAGGATGCCAGATTTAAAAAATCAATGTCAATCGATTCAATCTTCTTTTGATAAGCAAAGTGAAAAAGTAAAAAGTTATTACCGGATGCGCTTAAATGCCTAAATTAATGTGGCGACGATTCTTTTAAGATCGGCATTTCGATTTCGTGGATATGATGAAAGTGAAGAATTCGAATATAAAGGTGGCTTTCTTAAACTTTTGGAATGGTATGGAGATCGGCATCCGGATGTGGGAAGAGTAATATTACGTCATGATCCACAAAATGATATGATGATTTTTCCAGCAATTCAAAAAACGATCGTGGGGGCTTGTGCTAAAGAAACAACTAAAGCTATCATTGAAGTTTTGGGTGGTGATTATTTTGAAATATTGATTGATGAATCAAAGGATGTCTCACATAAGGAGCAAATGACCTTAATTTTGCGATATGTCAACAAAAGTGAAATGGTGATAAAGCGATTCTTGGATATTGTCCACGTGAGCGATACGTCTTTCTCATCATTACAAAAAGCAATTTATTCTTTGCTTTTGGATCATTCTTTACGTAAATCCAAGATATGTGGACAAGGTTATGATGGAGCTAATAATATGCAAGGAAAAATAAATGGTCTCAAGTCTTTAATTTTGCAAGATACTCCCTCTGCATATTGTATTCACTGTTTTGCTCATCAATTGCAACTAGCACTTGTAACTCTTTCTAAAAACCATTCGGATGTGGATAATTTCTTTTATGTTGTGACTAATATTTTGAATACTATTGGATCTTCAGTTAAGCGCATGGATTCACTTCGACAACAACAAGAAGACAAGTTGGAAGAGTTGCTTAAATTTGGAGTCTATACGGGGCAAGGTTTGAATCAAGAACACGACCTCCAATGACCGGGTGATAATCGTTAGGGGTCTCATTTTAAAACCTTGGACAATTTGATGGTTTTATTTCCTTCAATTGTTAATGTGCTTAAAGATATGAAGCGTGACTGTCCATATCATCTTAATAGATTTGTAGTGGGAAATCTTTTGAGCCAGATTCAAGAATTTGGATTTATTTTTATGTTGCACTTGATGTTTAAGGTGTTGTTATTTATAAATGAATTGAATAAAGCTTTACAAAAGAAAGATCAAGATATTGTTAATGCTATGGGAATGCTTGACCTTGCAAAGAAAAGATTGCAAATGATGAGAGAAACTGAATGGGATTCTTTGTTGGATGAGGTGTGCTCATTTTGTAGTAAACATGATATTCTAATTCTCAAAATGGATAAAGACTATACTCTAGGAAAGTCAAAGCATAAGAGGTCCGAAGTTTCATATTTACATCACTTTCTTGTGGAAGTGTTTACTACGGTTATTGATTTGGAATTTCAAGAGCTTAATGATCGTTTTGATGTTGTGACTACTGAGTAACTACTTGGTATGGCCAGTTTGAATCCAGTTGATTCATTTGCTAATTTTGATAAGGACATGATAATGAAGTTAACAGAGTATTATCCAAGTGAGTTTGGTGATAACAAGCTTCGAGAACTCGGCTTCCAGATTAATAGTTTCATTGTCTATGCTCAAAAGTGTGATAGCAGATTTCTTAACCTGAAGGGAATTAAGGATTTTGCTAGAGTGATGATAGAGGCAAAATTGGATCTTACTTGGCCACTTATTTAGTTACTTGTGAAGTTGACTTTGATTATACCTATTGTTATCGCAAGCGTGGAAAGAGCATTCTCATTAATGAAGTACATCAAAATTGATTTACGTAATAGGATGGATGATGATTTTTTAAATTTTTAGTTTGCTATATAGAGCGTAAGTTATTCAAAACTGTAAGTAATGATGCTATTATCGACCGTTTTCAAAGTATGAAAACTCGCCGAGGACAATTATAAAGTGAATGATTTTTTTGTGGATATAATATTAATATAATTTCCTCGTCAACTTCTTATCACCATAAATTTTATATAATTGAATCAAGCATTTATCTTAAAGATAATGGTGCGCCCATGTTCTTAAAATCTTGGATACGCCTCTGGCTATACTAGCACTACACCCAGAACCTGACCAATGTGAGCCCGCTACTCTAGAGTACGGGTGGTGGGAGTCTAACCTCCTCCCACAATCTGCGAAGTATCTAGTGCAATGAAGATCAATCCCGTCTGAGCCAATGTACCAAACATGCTCAGGAACTGCACTAAAGTCTCCTGTAAGTCTAGGAGTAACAACGGATGCCTCCGGTGCCTATCCCCCAATAAGAGCTACTGGTGGCTCCTCAACTGCTGCTCTGGAAGGTGCTCTAGCTACAACATGTTCCCCTTCTTGGCTCTAGTAGGGGGCGCAATTTTCTGCTCGGCTGATTCGGTAGCGTGAGTCCTTACCATCTATTAGAGAATAGAGATACAAAGGCTCAAACTTCGAAATCAACAAATCTGCATGACAGGAGTGAAAGAAGTGGAGTTTCTCTAATAGTTCTGTAGCCTCTCGAAGATAAGTACAAATATCTCCGTACCGATCTGCAAGACTCTACTAAACTTGCTCGTGACTCGTCGAACATATAAACCCAGAGCTCTGATACCACTTGTCACGGCCCAAAACCACCACAGGCGTCGTGATAGAACGTAATCTCTAAGACTAGGTAAACCTATTACTTTCAATAATTAATCCAATTTAACAATGATAATTTAAAACATAGTTTAATATGAATACCGAAACAAAAGTGAAACGAGCCTATGCGGAAATAATAATATAACCTCCTAAGACTAGGTAATACAGAGTCATGAACTCTAGATGAATACATGAAAATATCTCAAAGATCGAAATACAATATTATTCAAATGACAACCTGATAGTAAAATAAAAAAAGGACTCTAAGGGACTGCGACGACTAATCAACTCTACCTTGAATCCTTGCAATCAATAAGCCAACTCTTCCCGACCAGATATTTCCAATACATGCCTCTGCACAAAAATAAGGAGAATTATAGTATGAGTACATCACAATCAGTACCCAATAAGTATCAAGACTAACCTCAGTGGAGTAGTGCCGAGGTACAAGTCAAGACGCCTACTAGTCAAAATAACATGTGAAGTATAGAAGCATAAAACTTATAATGAAAGTAATAATCAGTAAATGGCAACAAGAATTAACATGTGATATAAACAGTAAAGTAATACGAGCACCGTGAATGCACTGTCAAAACCAAATAAGGAATACAAATATCAACCAATAAATCAAGCTGTTCTAACACAAGTTTCGCTACGAAATTACTCTGAGATATCTCATCTCATAGTCACAAGCCATTTGTGATGACCCAAAAGGTCATATTTTATTTTAGAATCCGTTTTCGTGTTTTGAGACCTTGAAAATCTCCTTTTATCTCTCCTTGATTTACGTGCGCAATCCGGGCGCGATACTGGAAAGCTTTTGTATGAAAAATTTAAGAAATAATGATTTTTGGCTCCAAAAGATGATTTTAGTTGACTTCGGTCAATATTTTGGGTAAACAGACCCGGACCCGTATTCCGACGATCCCAGGAGGTCCGTAGTAAAATATGGGACTTGGGTGTAAGCCCGGAATCGAATTCCGAGGTCTCTAGCCCGAGAAATAAATTTTTGAAGATAATTATTAGAAATGGAAATAGTGTGTGACCTCGTTGGTATCGGATCCGTATTTTGGTTACGGAGCCCGTTATAGGGTTGATATAATATTTAAGTAATCAGTTTTTGGACCGAACTTCGGGTTTTGACCAAACGGGCCCGAGGTCGATTTTTGACTTTTGGGGAAAGTATTAGAAAATCTATTATTATGCGTTGGAATTGTTTCCTTTAATGTTTAATGATGTTATTAAATTATTTATGACTAGATATGAGTGAATTGGTGGTGTAATCGAGAGTTCAAGTGGTGATTGAGCTTTGAAATACCCGTTAGCTCGAGGTAAGTGTTTGGTCTAACCTTGACTTGAGATATTAGGGATCCCCGACTTATTTGCTATGTGAAATTCCATGTGTATGGCGTATAGGTGTGGTGACGAGTACCTATCCGCCACCAAATTATCATTTTTGCCTGTTCCCTTCTTCATTTCCCTATATATTGCTCTCCTGTCTTGATTGCTACTTGCTCAAAAATGTTTCCACATCTAATTGCTTAATATTAATTGTTGTTTTCTTTATTGAAGTATTTATTTATTTCATGGTTTTGTTTTATTACCCTTTTTGGCTTATATTGGTTTATTGGTTCTTCATGGCATACCTTGGTTGGTCTCACTATGTAGTTTTAATTGGTGAAGTTACTTAATCGTAGTGATATTCCATTATGTGGATTGGGGTATAAGTGTTGCAGAGGATTTTAGTTAACTTGTGAAACACTTGTCTTTTTCTTTGTGATTAGTGCTGATATATATATTGGGATAGGGTTGTACGCCGCAACAGGAGGAATAAGGGTGAAATATGATTGTCTGGTGGGATCAGGTTGCACGCCGCAAAAAGGAGTAATAAGGGTGAATATTTATACTGTTATTGTTTATATGGTGGGGCGGGATGCACAGCACATCAGTTATTGTTTTAGTATTCATTTCTGTTGAAGTTAATTACTAAGATGTTGAAACTCTATAAGGATTGGTTATAGCTGAGTACTATTAGAACGGCTGGTTTCCGTATTCATTTAATGCAAGTTTTGTTATATTTCATTCCATATTTCCTTTCCATTTTAGTATAAACTGTTACAGGTTATATATGTTGTGATGCCCCGCCGTGACCTCGTCACTATTTCGTCGAGGTTAGGATCGGCACTTACCAGTACATGGGATTGGTTGTACTGATACTGCACTCTGCACTTCTTGCGCAGATTTCGGGGCTAGTGACTGATCGAGAGGTTGATTGTTGTTGCTGCATTTCAGAGACCCAAGATAGTCCTGCAGGCATCCGCAGGCCCTAGCGTCCCCTTCTACCCTACTTCATTTCTGTTTATCTACTTTCGAGACAGATGTAAACTTTTTGTTCAAACCATTTTTTGTAGTATTCATAGACTGTTCGTGAGTTATGACACCAGTTTCTGGGTGGAATTTATTACGGTTTTGTTATTAGCATAAAGATAATCATTTAAACTGTGATCTTCCGCATTTATTTTCGCTGATTAACCTTTGTTAAGTTTTAATTATTAAAAGATAAAGGAAAAAAGGTGTAATAATATGTAACATTAGCTTCCCTAGCGAGTATAATATTAGGCGCCATCACGATCCTGACGGTGGAAAATTCGGGTCGTGACACCACTGGTCTCAACCCACCATTATTTGATCATAGCACCTTGTGCCCACATTTCAAATCATAACCGCACGGGCAACTCACATGCCAATATCTCAATCCGCTAGGGATGATAACATGCTCACATTCACAATCCGTCTGGTATGGTCACATGCTCAATATGAGCATGTAAGCAAATAATACAAGAATATATGAGTATGATAAACAAATGTCAAGTTTCATAATCCTGAACTAGGATAAGTGGCATGCTACAATGTATGCTTGTGCGAGTGTACTATAAAAACCAAGTAAACAAGCAATATCAAAGACATCGAGTAGCTCATCGAAGAAACACAACAAGTCACGTAAGGTGTATAACATACACAAGAAAAAACACATTATCACATGAATATCACCAACAAAATGCTCCCAGGACATCACACATCATCCCTAACATTGCCATCCTTATCTCTCTGATAGCCACCTCTATCATTCTACCCTAACAATATCATTAACCACCAATATTACTCCACATAATAGCCACTCTTATCACTCTGCCCGGACAATAACATAATAGCCCCCCGTATCACTCCGTACATTCAACAAAAGTGAGATGCCACCCTTATGTCTCGCATAACAACAATAGTGAAATGCCACCCTTATACTCCGCGTAATGTCAACCAATCCACACAACAATTCACAGGTGCTACATCACAAAGACATGACATATCAACTTGTACCACAAGTGCCCATATGCCACAACCTTTCCAAAAGGACCAACAGTATCAATATTTCCACAATAAATAGATCACGGCTCAAACACATTGTATATTGTATCTCAATAACAACAAATGAACGAGAAAGTAACTCAATTATGAACAACACTCCCTTTAAACACGACTTCAATTAAAATAAATTAATGATTTTCAATAACTTCAACTTCAATTAATTTCTTAAAGATAGACTCGATAATGAAGGTATTTCCATGAAATGGCAAACCTCGGATTCTAGTGTATGAAATAAGCTAACAATGAAAAAGATGGCACGAACTAGAAACTACGTCAAAATTCATGAGAATGGCCCGACAACATAATGGATATCATATGACAACAATTTTAGTTAAGAGTAACTCAACAATAAAGGAGGTCACATAATGATAAAAGAGGTAACAACTTCGAATAAAGCATATAAGAGTAAACTTGACGAGTAAAGGATGTGACATGTAACAACAACTCCAAATAAAGCATGCAAAAGTAAACAAGACAATTAAAAGATATAACATATGCTAACAATTTCAAATAAATAAATGAAAGAAGCCCAAGAGTCTAAACCGGTCAATAACATATAAACCCGAATACGTACTCGTCACCTCGCGTACACAGCTTTTACATGACACAAAATATCACTAATGACTCAAATCCTAAGGGTTAGT